GGTGGACGTTCTGCCGTGGGTGGACGTTCCTGAGCTTTGAGCGAGTGGACGCTCTGGCTAGACCTGCGCGCGGCGGCGGCAGGAGCGGTAGACGGAGTTTGAAGGTGGAGTTGGAAGAAAAGGAAGGGTGAAGAAAAATGAAAAAAACCTCTCACGAAGAAGAAGAAAAAGAGACGTTTTAAAGAAATAAGAAATAAAAATTAAAAATTAAAAAATTAAAAATAAATAAAAAATAACTTAAAAGTTCTGTTGAAGTAGCCGTTGGCATTTTAAAAAAAAATATTATAAATATGCATCAACTCAATTTAAAAATTTAGACCTCTTTAACTCTCTTCTACTTCTTTTATCTTACTTGTTTTGCTCTCAAAAATGGATCCTAACCAATACAATCATCAAAAAAGTTTAAATTCTTTACAAAACCAACCACCATCGACAAGTGCAAATTCTCAAATTCCTCCCTAATATGTTATGTATCTACCATCTTATTTTAGTGAAAATTCTCAAAATCCACCACCTTATTGGTCAACACCACAATATTATATGTTTCCAACACATCCACCTAGTGATGATAATTCTCAAGGACCACAAATTTTTAGTCAACTACCACCTCTCACCAACCCAAATGCATGTTATAGGCCTTCTCCTCTATACAATATTGACACTCCTAATAGTGAACCTGAATCACCAATTGGTCTCGATGGAATTCAACTAGATGGAAGTGTAGAGAATTCGTCAACAAAAAAAATTTGTGTTCCATTCACAGTTCAAGAAGATATTATTCTCGTGAGGTCATGGGTCAATACGTCGAAAGGATCCAATCATAGGAGTTGATCAAACGTTACGACAATATTGGTCGAGAATCACAAAAGCATACAACAACAATGAAGACCGTGGCGAGTTCATAGAGAGAGAATTGACTCAACTAAAAGCATGTTGGAATCGAATTCATCCTACAGTTCAAAAATTTATTGGTTGCTACAAACAAGCAATTAGTCAAAAGAAAAGCGGGAGTTTGGAGAATGATGTCATGACATTCGCACATAAGATTTACACTCAAGATACAGATAAAATATTTGATATGGAGCATGCATGGGTCATTTTGAGAGATGAACCTAAATGGCAATCTGATTTCGTGCAACACAATTCAAAAAGAAGGATTCAAAAGGAAGCCATTGATTACAAAAGCCAAAGAGAAATTTTCCATTAATCAATATTAAGAACCGTTGTCTTAGATTACAGAGTTAATGTTAATAATACGTACCTGTATCCATTGACATTGATCAAAAGGTTGCAGCGGAATAGTCTTTTGGTGCAATGATCTTCCTCAGCCAAATCACTGGATTCCTTGATGGGACTTGATGTTACTCTTCTGATGGGGAGACAGAGAGACGTGTGTTTCTAATTTGGCATATTGGGGACCATGACCATCTTTATGATTTTAAACCTATTAGGGTTCCCATTAACCCCTAACAGGCCAAATCTGGTTTCCACTTATATGGGCCCATATCAGTTTTTCCTGTTGGCAGTCTAAAGGCTCACTAAAATTAGATCACTTTTATTGAGCCCAACTAAATGTAAATAACTAATATAAATATTACAAATAATATATGTAGCCCACAATAATTATTAGAAATAAAATTTCTAACAATTTACACTCAAGATACAGGTAAAATATTTGATATGGAGCAAGCATGGGTCATTTTGAGAGATGAACCTAAATGGCAATCTGATTTCGTGCAACACAATTCAAAAAGAAGGAAGGTAACGTATGCAGGTGGTTACTCTTCGTCTTCCAACACAGAGACACCCATTGAATTTGATGAGTATGAGATACCAACGCCAACATCCCGTCCGATAGGACAAAAGGCAACCAAAAGGAAGGCCAAAGGAGAAGAAACTTCCAATACTAATGTTGTTTATTTTTTTGGCATAGAAAATGCAATAAAGGAGAAAAATGCCTATGCATCAAGACTAATTGAGTTGAAGGAGGCACAAGAAAGACGTTTGGCATATGAAACCATAATGAAGGATACTTCCAACATGAATGAGACTCAACGTGAAGCTCATTAAAAGTATTGTAACTATCTTAAACAACAATATGGGTTTTAATTTCTTTTAGGGTTTAGGGAAGTATTTGAATTTTAATTTCTTTTATTATTGTAATTCAAATTTTGTTGTTATTAAACTAGTTGTTGTAAAACTAGCCGTTGTAAAACTAGCCGTTATAAAACTAGCCGTTGTAAAACTAGCCATTGTAAAACTAGTCGTTGTAAAACTAGCTGTTATAAAACTAGTCGTTGTAAAACTAGTCGTTATAAAACTAGCCGTTGTAAAATTATTTATATGTAGACTTTGGCATCTAATCCTACTCATTCTCACATCTTCTCTCACACAAAATCCCCATCTATTCTTCTTCGATTTTTAGATTGATACGTGATGGATCGAAACAACAATTTAGATGATCCAAACATCAATTTAGATAATCTTTTGGATCAATTCATAGATGAGGAACTACACGACAACACCCATTGAATTTAATCTATTCAATGTGGGACTTTATTTATGAGTTACAATTAGATATAAGAGAAATATACTTTTTTTGACTCGATGTGGGACTTTGATTTTAGAAGCAATTATAGTAACATTTTATATAAAAAAATTGCAAAATAACTTATGTAAATTTTTTTTACTCGATATGGGACTTCGATTTTGAAAAAAATTAGAAAGAATAATATTGAAATAAAAAATATTACTCTATCTATAATGATATTTTTCAAAAAAGTGTTACAAAATAACATTTATATAATATATAGTAACATTTTAACAAATGTAAACAAGAAAATGTTGTTAAAAGATTAAAATCTAGTAGTAATTACATGATTGATTATAGAAGCTTTGTAAAGGTTGCTTACATTATAAAAAGTGATTTTTAATTACGGTGTTATGCCGTTTTGCATGGATTTGATGTTGAGAATGTTTATGTCTCTATTGAATTTTAAGATGATGTCATAAATTTAAGTAGAAGTGTCAAACAAAATAAGCTAGCCAATTCATTTGATGGGGTCTGACTTAGTCAATCCTCATAACAAATGTGTAACTATTTTTAACTCAGTATCATACTATTAGGCCAAATAGACTTAAATTAAGAAATAATTTAAATGTCAAAACTTAAAAAAAAATAAAAATTAGCTATTCTAAAATTAAAAATATGTAAACAAAATTAAATACAAATTACAATTTAAAAATCCTCCATTCCAAATGGCATGGAGTTACTGTTGAACTCGCTAGACTATAACTAATTCTTAAAAATAACTCTTGATTCCTCTAGGTGTTAGTCATTTTGTAAGAACCAAAGTGTATCCTTAGCCCCAAACAGAATTTAACCACATTGTGTCTCTCATGCAAAGATGGCTGCAATGGCAAACACGAGCAGGAGGAGACCAATTCACACAAAACACAACGTTAGCAGCAAATACACGACATGTCATATTCGAGTTACATAGAATTATTAAAGGCACCGGATGAGGCCAGCTTTTACCCTGTCACTTATTTACATCTTGAGATGCAATTGTTTTTTAACATAATCGTGAAGAGGATATATATATATATATATATATATATATATATATGGGTTGAAATATGTTGAACATGTCAAATGGATACATTGACATGTGTAAAATCTATACTATCAAAACAATACCGATTAAGTTACACCCCCATCTTGGTGTATGGAAAAGATTTTCTTGTATTTGGATAGAATTTTGACTTGAAAACATATCCGAATTAAATAAGGAAGTTAAGCACGATTTATTTTAAATGTATTATGAAATCTAAATCAATTTTTAACGGTGTTTATGATTTTAAAAATTAGTTAAAAATATATAATATTATGTTATAAATGGTTTATAGTTTTTCATCCTAAAATTTAGCTTATGTGAGAATATGTTGGTAATTTCCTATAGAGGAGGGTTCAAAAGACACAGATGTAATTTTTACTAAGTGTTACACTGCTCAATAACTTTATATTAAATGTGAATTTTGAAAATCCAACCGTTAGATTGAAAATTCATATCACTTTATATGTGTATATCAAATTTTGTTAAAATTGAACAACAACTTGAAGACAATCAAAATATTCATATTTTAGTATATTTTGAAATAAATATGTTACGTCAATTTTGTTTTATGAGAATGAAGTATCAAATCATCTTAGATTAATATAAAATTTGATATATATGATCTAAGAGATATGAACTTTCAATCTAATGGTTGGATTTACAAAATTCATAATTAATTTAAAGTTATTGAACAGTGTAACACTTAGTTAAAGTTACATTGGTGTCGTTTGAACTCTCATATATATATATATATAAAGTATTAAATAAATTTTAAATTTTTTAAAAATATGTAAATTTAATTTATATTTTAAGAACTATTAGTTAAACGATTAGATCTTTAAAATTCAATATATTTATAAGTTATTGAGTGAAATATATTCACATACGTACATATGAATTCATGTTATATATTTACACTTTATTTTATAACAATTAAAAATTTAATTAATCATTATGATAAAAATAATTTAAATTGTAATAGTATTTAAATAATAAAATTGAAATTACATAATTTATTAAAACAATAATATTGTTCTTAAATTCTTGAATTTCTTATTTTTATGATTATGTTGTTTAACAATGTTATATATTATTTAAATTAATATTTTAATATGTAGTTTAGAGGGAGTATTCTAGAAATTAGTTTAAAAAAAAAACTATTAACACCTCTGCAACTACGAGAACATTACTTTGTAACGGAAGAGGCGTGCGAATAGCAATTGCCACTGCTAATTTAAAAGGATGGGAGCCTGGTTTAATGAACAGGCCATCAATTGTAGGCCCAATGAAGTGACCTATTCTATTGCCCAAATTTGAAACCCAACAATAATATTCTCCTTCACACTCTTCTCCCTCCGCACCGGCACCACCCACAGCACCGTTATACCTCTAACCTTCTTCACCCTTTCCTCATCGAAAACGAACCAAATCATATCATGGGTAACCCTAAAAAATTCTTATTTTTCACTCTTGCATTTGCATTCAATCATAAGCAACTTAATCTTCATTTTTTTGTGTGCGTTTCAGAGAAACAAACCACCGAGAAATCACGTCGGGAACGAAGGAAAGAATCCCGCTTGGCGAAGAATGCATCAAAACACCAATCCTGGCTCCTCCATCACGTAATTCTGTCATATCCTATATGTTCTATCTTTTTTTCTTCAAGTTTTATGCCTTGTTTTCTCGCCAGAACAGTGAGTTTTTTTTTTTAATTTTATTTTATTTTTTATATTTGATTTTGTTGTTTATAGAAATCTCGAGCTACGAAAAAATGTGGCAATAATTCAGAGCTAGAAACTAAAAGCAAATCCGACACATCACGTAGTCCTAGTCCCAAGGAAACACAAGTTCAGAAGTTAGAATCTAACTCTAGGAAACATGAGACAGCTGAAGAACACACTGTGTCAGAGGAAATTCGTGTCACTGGTGCAAAGAAAATTAAGAGAATGAAAAAGGGTTCTAACAAGAGTTCCGCAAAGAGTATGGTGGAGATGGTGATGCAGGATGTTTCTGCTGCTGCTGAAAAGGATCTAGAGCTGGAAAGGAAGCTTTCCAAGAAGCTCAAGGTGAAGGTAGGAAAATTGAGGGGGTTGGATGATGGGCTGAACATATTACTCGAAGGAATGTCGTCTGCTTTTGATTTCATGGGAGAAGAGGAGGTTTCTGGTAGTGGTGAATTGTCTGTGAAGAGATTGAAGAAGAGCTCGTCGAGTAAGAAGGATAAATTGTCAAAGAAAAGGGTCAAAGCGGAAGTGAGGGACGATGTATTGGGGCATGTAGAAGCTTCTAATCGAGAGGTAGAAACTGATGATGTTCCTGAAAGTGTGCCTTTAAAAAAGAAGCATAAGAAAAGGAAATTGTCGGGTCAACCGCAGGAAGACAATGTGGAGGATGAAGCTGTTGGCATGTCCAGCCCTGTGGAATCTTGTGGAATGGAGGAGAATTTGGAGGATGCTCCTGCTGAAGTTCCGGAAAAGAAAGCCAAAGAAAAATATATAGCGCCTCATTTGAGAGCTCGTGCTGGCAATGAACCTGAAGAGCATACTCAAATTCGTAGACGTATACGAGGTAAGGAGAGGCTTTGCTTTGACTTTGTTTGCATTGTCTGATTGTATATCATTAATTGTTTTTCTTTCTGTGTGAACTTGTTTCTTCAGGCCTTCTTAACAGGCTTTCTGAATCCAATGTTGAGTCAATAACTGGGGAATTGTCCTTGATCTTTCAGGTATGTTACTTATGTAGTTGTCTTACGAATGGATGCTTGTTTTATTTCTGTAAATAAAAATTATATGATCTTGTTTTGAAATGGATTAAAGAAGAGGTGAGAAAGAGAGTATTAGTGATTCTCTGAAGTCTTAAAAAATGGTCCTTTTTCTATTTTTATTTCTACTAGATTTGCATATAACATTTTTTAAATAAAAAGAGGTTATCTTTTTTTATTATCTGTGCCCATTTCCAAAGATAAAGTAATCAATCTTGTAGAAGAAATTTGACCTAGTTTGTCTTGTCAAGAATTAGTTTGGAAGTTAAGTGCCGAGACCTTTTGCAGTTTTGCTAACTCTAGCATGTAGCTTGCAGTCACTGTAGAGCATAGGTAGTACAAGTTTGGTAGTTTTTTTTTTTTTGAAAAATCTTGGGTCATCTTATCCACCTAAAGAATGAGTGATCATTGTGCTGGTACTCTTCCCCTGCTGTTTATGCTAAAGTTTAAATTGATTCATCATATTGGATCAAATTAATTAATGGAATTGGAAACTGCTGGTGCAATGATTATTCAAAGGATAGTTGCTATTCCAACTACTTGACATGTGGACTCAACATACATACTTATATGCCAACTTCCATCTTTTGACATATGCCTATGTTTCTGATGTTTAATTTTTTACAGAACAGTTGCTTCTTTGAAACAAAAGCAGTTTCGTTCTTCTGGAGTTTTGATAGTAACTTCTATGATGTAATTCTTTGCAGACTGTAGCTCGTAGTGTTGCTTCACAGATCTTGACCCAGGAAATTTTGGCATCATGTTCTGGTGGCCCCCGTGGCAATCAACAGTTAAGGATTTTAGCCTTACTATTTTTTACTCTTAGTGTGTGTTTGTTTTACTCTATTCCTGAATTCCAAAGCCACGTTGAATGTAATTTTACTCTCTTATAGCTTTGTTGTTGAACGAAACTAGACGATGATACAAACATGCTCTTACATCCCTCAGCGGAGTTGCTAAATCATTGATTTTTTTGTTTTCTATGTTGGAAGCAATTTATTGGGCTCCATTTTGATTTTAGGGGAAGGTCAGAAAATAAATGAAAATATTCAATTGAATTTAGTTGTAATCTTAAATGATGGGATAGGATACAATTAAGCTTTTAAAGATTGATGGTATGAGGGGGTTCAGTCAGATTTAGTTTTAGCCTAATAAAGCTTAGGTTCAGATGCTCCAACCAGGAAAAGTGAACATATACTAAAATAATGTCATAGGAAAAGGAAGAGGCTGAGGATATTCTATGTCCAGATGAGAAGGGACAACATGATTAAAACTCGTTTGACAATATGTCTAAGATGTGAATAAATCACTATAGATACCCTTGTGTGGGAATCCATGTAGTTTAGAATGATTAATCTTGGGTGTTGAGGCCATTGTTATTATTATAATGATTGTATATGGATTCAGAAAGTATTGTTTGGTCCTTGGATATGTCAGATTCTTCCTCAATCCTCATTAATCTTCTGTTATATATTGTGTTTGTCCCTTTCACCTTGTATATAATCCCAACTCCTGTAATTTTTTCTGGTGGCTGTTCCAGGTGTATAGCTTTCTAGCCTTTTTCTGTTGTTGTGTTCATTGTATCTGACAATTTTTTCTTGTGAAGGTATGCTGCTGTTTTCGCTGCATTCGTTGCTGGGATGGCATGTTTGGTCGGTGTTGACTTCAGTGCAAGGTTTATGGCTTCCTTTGCAAAATGCTTTGAGGTATAGAATGCAAATTTGTTAATGTGTTTTTTATTTGTTTAATCATTTCCCTTCTCAGTTTTAGATTCTTCTCTAGACCACCTTTTGCTCTCATTAGTGTTTTAGAGACTACAAGAATTTTAGTCTTCATATATTTTCTGCCCAGGATGAGTACAATAAAGAAGACAATCTCTCCTTGCGGAATCTTACTCTTCTCTTATCCTATTTATGCATATTTGGAGTCTGTTCTAGGTGGGTAAACTGTACTTCACCAAGAACTTTATATTAACTTATTTTGGTTACATTTTCTAAAATATATCTTGTAATGCTTTTCAGTGATTTAATATATGACTTTCTAGACATGCTGAGCAAGCGTTTAACTGAGATGGATGTCTCTATCATTCTGGCATTATTACAATGTAAGTATTCTGTCCTTTTAATTCTGTGTTTTTGGTTTGTGTATGGTTCTAGTTAGAGCTTCCTTGTATGTAAATTGTATAAGTTTATATAAAAGTTCCCTAACAATCCATATCTAGAATATAGCTAGGTCATCATATGCTTAAGTATTTAAAGGAAGTGCCACATTGAATTTAAATGCTTGCTGGTGAAATGGACTCTTTTCCTTTAAAGGTTATTTTATTTTTACCTTGTTGATACCGTATGCACTTTGTTTTGTTGGTTTTACATTGGACGACTTTGACACTGAGGAAATATATGCTATAAATGTCTAATTTCCAAGTCTAAATTTTAGCTTTTGAGCTGCTCAAAAGTTCTTTTGCATGTGGCTAACTTAATATTGTCAGATAGCTACTGTCACACAGTGTAATCTTTGGTTTGTTCATAGAGCTAACCAAGCTTGGCTGGGGTTGCCTCACTGGTAGATTCCCAAGTTATATCAAGCACTTGGGGTAGTCTTACATTTGTAATTTATAATATCAGTGAGACAGATCTCTTCTGTTTGTTTCATTTTAATAATTTTTACTGCTTAACGTCCATAAGACTTTGGTGCTGTATGGAACAAAATGCCAGGCAGTAAAGAGTCAATAGGAGCATAAGCTTAGTGCTTCTGAGATAAGAATGTTGTAGTAGATAACTGGACATAGAAGACAGGATCAAGAATGCAGACATTAGAGAGGTAGCATCTATTGAGGAAAAGATGGTATAATCTTGCCTAATATGGTTTGGCCATGTTAGAAGAAGGCTAATAGAAACCCAGTAAGGAGTGAACTGGATGCAGGATAGCCATATAATTAGATGAAGGAGATCAAGAAAAACTCTAGGTGAAGCCACTAAAAAAGACTTCAGGTCTAAATGAATTTTCTAAGGATTCATGATAGAATACAATGGCATCATTTGAGTCCTGTAGCTGACACCACCTAGTGGGAAAAGGCTTTGGTGGTTGTTGTTGTTAGTGTATGTGGCTTTTACCTCTTTCCTTTCTTCACTTGTACATTTATCTCCTATATTCCCCCTTATCTATGTGAATTGATGATACCATGTAATATACAGTAACATGCTTATTTCTCTATAGAATTCATATAGGAACTTGATCAATTAGTGGACCATATCTGATTTATTGTTTTTGTCTGCAGGTTGTGGTATGAAAATAAGGGCTGATGATCCATCTTCCATGAAAAATTTCATTCTTAGTGTTCAGAATACATCAAATAAGTTGAAGGCTTCCTATGGAGATGACAATGAAAAGAAAAACAGTAAAAGAGTGAGCATGCTATGTTTTATTATAAAAAGAAAACTACTTTTTTCTGCACACAGTTCAGCACTGATTACTTGGTAATACTTGTAGATGGATTTCATGCTTGAAATCATATGTGACATCAAGAACAACAAAAGAAAGCAAAATGAGGACACTGCACATCAAACGCGGATTAAGAAGTGGTTACAGAAGGTTCCCAGTCTCTTGTTATGTTCCATTATTGTTTTTATTTTTCAAAATAAAATAAAATCCCTTAATTGAACCCATTAAAAAAACTGTTACATGTAGGTCATGCTTTGCAAAGAAAACCCTTTTTTTTTTCCTTTTGTGGATAGATTTCTTGGTCATCTCAGATATGATGTTCCTGTGGCTGTGAGCATCCATGCTGCAAATGCTACTGTTTATAAGACAAAACTATGTATCTTATTTAGAACTATTCAAACATATATAATTGAAGATCCAAGCTAGGTATTATGGTTCAGGGAGTGGCTGTGACTGTTGAAATTCTTTGCTTGTCATTGTCGAAAGACAATGTTGAGTTTAATTCTTATGATGTGGGTAGTTTCAGAATAGATGATCTTGTATAATTTTCAAAGGTGGTAAATTTCTTCACAAGATCAACCTCAATGTTATTTGCTCTCTTTTCTAAGAGAAGATTCATATTCTTCTTTACTAACTTTCCAGACTTCATTTGCCTAGTTGCTCTCAAGTTGATTTTTGCATCTTAGTTGTTTTGCCTTTAGTCTTTTGCTTCGCATATCTATTGTGAAAAAGAAATTTTTGTTTGACTCTAAAATCATCATTTGAATTTCTTTGTTATTCAAAAGACATTCATATGTCCCTCAAATTCTTAATTTAAATTTTTTCAGTTAAGAGTTGATGACATTTTGATTAGAGGTCTTAAATGGAGCAAGTTACTTGATCCTGACAAGAAGGGACAATGGTGGTTGTCTGGAGATTTGGCTTCTGCAACAGATAATGTTGAAGAAGTTGCCAACAGAATAGACAAAGATATTCTTGAAACCCAACGAATGCTGCAGCTCGCTGCTGCTCAAAAGATGAACACAGATGCCAGAAGGGCAATCTTTTGTATTATAATGAGCGGGGAGGATTATATTGATGCATTTGAGAAGCTTTTAAGATTGGAATTGCCAGGCAAGCAGGTAAGCCTTTTTTTCATTCATTTTTTTTCTCTCTTCAGTTTAGTAATGTCTTATTCAATCATGTGGCCTTCCATCTTGTGATTTGCAGGATAGAGATATCATGCGGGTTCTTGTAGAGTGTTGCTTGCAAGAGAAAGTTTTCAACAAGTATTATACAGTGCTGGCTTCTAAGTTGTGCGAGCATGACAAAAATCACAAGTTCACTCTACAGGTTGATTTTTTTCTCCTTGTAGGATTGAGATGAGAACTAAATTGTAGAACTGCATAGTATTTGCCTCATGAGTGAAAACAGCCACATTTTTTAACTACTTACATAGAGGAAATATATGACAAGAGGAGCACTTCTAATGAAAAACATGATTAGTGCATCATAACTGTTGAATTGTGAATCGATAGATGCACCTTAAGCAGATGTTGAATTTTCCAGTATACAAAAGAAAAAGAACTTCTCCCTCCTGCCAAAACAGCAAAACCTTTGTTAAGATAATTCTATAAGATATAGTTTAGATATACTAGTTTATCCTCTCCTAATTTCTAGTTTAGTTTCCTTAGTTAGTTTTATCTAAATCCCTAAACTTTAGGGATTGATTATGTTTTATGCCTATTTATTTTATTGTATCCATCAATTCAATAACATGAAAATCATTCAGATTCAAGTTGGTACCAGAGCATTTTGGTCTTGGTTTGGAAACCCTAACCCAGCCGCCACCAAGGCATCTAGGGTTTTTCGAATTTTGTTAGCGGTTGTCAGAGTTGACGCCGCCTGAGTGTTCAGAGGTTGTCGATCGGCCTTTCCGTCGCGAGCTGCCTCTAGACCTATGTCTCACGCGCAGTTTTTGTCAGAAAAGCTTGCCGGTGCGTGGGGTTCACGCGCCACCCTCCAGGCCTCCGTTTGCGACGCCGTTTGCACCGTTGGACTCGCCGGCCCTCCCTCTTCTTGTTTTGACCCTTTTTAGGCAGTGGGTCACACTGTAGGTGGTCGTTTGGTTGCTGCTTGGAATTTCGTGGTTGTTTGGGTGTTGTCACGGAATTTCGAGACTGTTTGGTTGCTGTCTCGGAGGTCTTTCGGGATTGTTTGGAGGTGTTTTTTGTTGTTCTTCTCCTTTTTCTCTTCATGGCAGAGATTTCCAAGAATGGCACACCCTCTGCTTTTATCCCTAGTTCAACTGACCGTGGAAGTCGAGGGCGTGGTCGAGGTCGTGTTCGTGGTAAAGGGGGTAGAGGAAACCTCCATTGTACCTACTGCCAAAGAGATGGGCATACACGAGACAAGTGTTATTCCTTGCATGGCTTTCCGAGCAAGACAGCTAATGTGGTTCAATCTCCAACTTCAGCTCCAGAGCTCAAGATTGAACCGGAGGGCAATCATCCAATCACATTATCTACCGATGATTACCAAGAGTATCTTCAATTCAAGGCAACTAAACAGGCCTCTTCTTCCATCACTGTTGCTCATACTGGTAATTCTACAGTTTGTCTCTCTCATTCTACTTCTATTGGACCTTGGGTTTTGGACTCCGGTGCTTCTGATCACCTAACTGGTAATGTCTCCCTTTTCCCTAACCTATCATCACCTAGAACTCCACACCATATCACTCTTGCAGATGGGTCAAAAGTCCAAGCCACTGGTATTGGTCAAATATCACCTCTCCCATCACTACCATTAAAATCTGTTTTACTAGTTCCTGGATGTCCCTTTAATTTGATTTCTATAAGTAAGTTGACTCGGTCACTAAACTGTGTCATAACCTTCACTTCTGATTCTTTCTTGATACAGGACCGGAGTACGGGACAGACGATTGGAGCCGGATCTGAATCACATGGTCTCTACTACCTTCAGCCTTCTACCTCTACCATATGTGCATCTATTGAGTCTCCTGGTTTAATTCATCGTCGCCTGGGTCATCCAAGCTTGAATAAATTAAAGAAAATGGTACCTCATCTCTCACGGTTGGAGTCCTTAGAGTGTGAGTCGTGTCAATTAGGGAAGCATGTTAGAGCTTCTTTTCCTAATAGTATTAATAGTCGAGCTATGTCTCCTTTTGATGTTATTCATTCTGATGTTTGGGGTCCTAGTCGCGTTCCTTCTCTTTTAGGACATAGGTATTACGTCACCTTTATTGATGATTTTTCTAGATGTACTTGGATATTTTTAATGAAAAATCGTTCTGAGTTATTCAATATTTTCCTAAGTTTCTATTCGGAGATCAAAACTCAATTTGGCAAAGTAATTCGGATTTTACGAAGTGATAATGCTAAAGAATATTTTTCAGATTGCTTCAAATCATTTATGGCTTCCCATGGCATTCTACATCAATCTAGTTGCCCTCATACACCTCAACAAAATGGTGTAGCTGAGCGAAAACATAGACATATTGTGGACACTGCTCGTACTCTTTTATTGAATGCCAATGCACCCCCAAAGTTGTGGGGCGATGCTGTCCTCACTGCAGGGTATCTAATAAATCGAATGCCATCGTCTGTCTTGAATGATCAAGTACCTCATTCCCTATTATACCCATTGGAACCCCTTTACTCTGTTCATCCTCGTGTCTTTGGTTGTACTTGTTTTGTCCATGATCTTTTCTCAGGACGTGATAAGTTGTCTGCTCGGGCCATCAAATGTGTGTTCTTAGGATACTCCCGTGTCCAAAAGGGGTACCGTTGTTACTCTCCTGCTACGCATCGATTTTACACCAGTGCAGATGTCACTTTCTTTGAAGATACACCATATTTTATTGCCACAGATGTTTCTCCGGTTGACTCAGATCTCCTCTCTCAGGTATTGCCTATTCCTCATTTTGATCATAGTGTGCCTCCTACCACACCTGCTACTTTAGAGGCACCAGATCCTCCCGCACTACCAGGGTCTGACCATCCTCTACACCGATTTGGGATAACCTATGAGCGTCGATCACATACTGTTGTTCCTCCCAATGATTCTTCAATTGAGCCATGTGATTCTACTCCTGCTTCAGTCTCCTCACCTACTCCGGCCCCACCTACCTCAGTTGACTTGCCCATTGCTCTTCGTAAAGGTAGTCGTTCTACTTGTAATCCTCATCCTATTTATAACTTTCTTTCATATCATCGTTTGTCTCCTACCTATTATGCTTTTGTCTCTGCTATTTCCTCTATTACCATTCCCAAGACTGTACAGGAGGCCTTAACCCATCCAGGATGGCGTCAAGCAATGATTGATGAGATGACAGCTTTAGACTCCAATCACACTTGGGTACTTGTCCCACCTCCGCCTGGAAAATCTGTTGTTGGTTGTCGGTGGGTATTTAATGTTAAAGTGGGCCCTGATGGACAGGTGGATAGATTGAAAGCTCGTCTTGTGGCTAAGGGATACACGCAAGTATATGGTTTGGATTACAGCGACACCTTCTCTCCAGTTGCGAAGATGGCCTCAGTTCGTCTCTTCTTAGCTATGGCTGCTATGAGGCATTGGCCTTTGTTTCAATTAGACATCAAAAATGCCTTCTTACATGGTGATTTGGAGGAGGAGATTTATATGGATCAACCTCCTGGGTTTGTTGCTCAAGGGGGGTCTGGTCTTGTATGTAAATTACAAAAGTCCTTGTATGGCCTCAAACAATCACCTCGTGCTTGGTTTGGTCGGTTTAGCAAAGTTATACAGGAATTTGGAATGATCCGCTGCGAGACAGACCACTCTGTCTTCTTTAGACGCTCATCGACACATAGATTTATCTATCTTGTTGTTTATGTAGATGATATTGTGATTACAGGTGATGATCAGGAGGGCATCAAGGCACTGAAGCAACACTTATTTAAACACTTTCAAACTAAGGATTTAGGTCCCCTACGTTATTTCCTCGGGATTGAGGTCGCTCAGTCAAAGTCCGGTATTGCTATTTCTCAGAGAAAATATGCCCTTGATATTCTAGAAGAGACCGGACTTACAGATTGTAAGCCAGTTGACACTCCCATGGATCCCAATGTGAAGCTTATGCCTAATCAGGGGGAGCCTTATCCTGACCCAGGGAGATATCGGAGATTAGTGGGAAAATTGAATTATCTCACCATGACCAGACCTGATATATCTTTTCCTGTGAGTGTTGTAAGTCAGTTTCTTAACTCTCCCTGTGAGAGTCATTGGCTTGCAGTTGTTCGAATCCTTAGATACATCAAAAGATCTCCAGGAAAAGGACTTGTTTACAATGATAGAGGACATACAGACATTGTTGGATATTCAGATGCAGATTGGGCAGGTGATGCAAGTGATAGACGATCAACATCAGGCTATTGTGTCTTCATGGGTGGTAATCTTGTCTCATGGAAGAGTAAAAAGCAAAGTGTTGTTGCACGATCAAGTACAGAAGCAGAATACTGTGCTATGGCTCACACCACATGTGAGCTCTTGTGGCTAAAATTCTTAATTCAAGAGTTGCAGTTTTGCAAGGTTGGTCATATGGAACTAGTTTGTAATAACCAGTCAGCTTTATACCTCTCCTCTAATCCAGTTTTTCATGAGAGAACAAAGCATATAGAGGTTGACTGCCATTTCATCAGAGAAAAGATCCTCTTCGGTATCATCAAGACCTCCTCAGTTTGCTCCAAGGATCAACTTGCAGATATCTTTACTAAATCTTTACGAGGTCCTAGGATAACATATATATGTAACAAGCTAGATGCATATGATATATATGCTCCAGCATGAGGGGGAGTGTTAAGATAATTCTATAAGATATAGTTTAGATATACTAGTTTATCCTCTCCTAATTTCTAGTTTAGTTTCCTTAGTCAGTTTTATCTAAATCCCTAAACTTTAGGGATTGATTATGTTTTATGCCTATTTATTTTATTGCATCCATCAATTCAATAACATGAAAATCATTCAGATTCAAGTACCTTGAAAGTGAGTTTGAAGAAATTTATCCAGAGATGTGGATCAAACTGCTGCTCTTAAAAAATGTGCACAGCTCTTGTGTCTTTACTCCGAAAGCACATACATCTGGGGTTGAATCAACCACCACCAAAATCTCTCTTTAACTATTTTGGACATATAGTATTGCAAAAAGTAGGATGCAAATCCCAATATCCTAGAAACAAACTGAAAAGTTTCAGGGTTTTGTAGGGAATATTATCAGATAGCTTGATTTTCCATAAATTCATTAGAATTCATACTTTATTTTGTTTTTTACACCTGTACACAACCTAAATTACAGGTTGTTTTCTTTACAAGTTTCTTGGCAAAATGAATTGGATAAAAAACATCAATTTTTTTCTTTGAACAGCTAATACATGAATTTATTTGCTTTCCATGAGGCCATCCCAGGGTAATGATACGTTTTGGGTTCATGGGTTGAGTTGTTTTGATAAATTAATTTCTAAATCTAGTTACTACTTTTTAGAAGGCAGGTCATGCATGTGTCTACTCTCTGAAATGTGTACTTTGTTGGAAAAAAATGAACCCAGTAGTTAGAATTTCTTGAAGATGTTCTCATACCATAGAAATTGTTTATATGTATATTGGCTTTCAGTTACAAGAGCAAGTTAACATGTTCTAGTTTTTTTTTTTTTCATATATAATATAGGCATGTTGACTTTCATTAGGAGATTGATAATAACCATAGCTAAAAGGTTTATAACAATGCATGCTTAGGAACTGGAATTTGAATCGTGTTATTTTACATTTTTACTTGCTGTTATTATGATAATACATTAATACTTTTTGTTTCTGTATTAATCTTTTTCTCATTATTTTCCTATGCTTTGTTTGCAGTTTTGCCTGTGGGACCAGTTTAAGGAGCTGGAGTCAATGCCACTTATGAGGTCAATGCACCTGGCAAAATTTGTTGCTGAAATGGTTGCCTCATTCACTCTCTCCCTTGCTCTTTTGAAGACTCTGGATCTGAATGATATCACCTTATTAACACCAAAAAGGATTATGCATTTCCGCATTCTGTTTGAGGCCATTTTTGAGTATCCTGAAAACTTGGTATGGAATATTTTCACACGTGCAGCAGTGACCCCTGAACTTGAAAGTCTTAGGCAAGGCCTTGAATTTTTCATAAGGGAGTACGTTGTGAAAACCAATAAAGATCTAACTCAAAATTTTAAGTTAGCAAAAAGAGCCCTTAATAATGTGGAAGGAGTTTTGATGTGAAAGGAAATTTTGGATTCGACCCAATTTTGTAGCTTTAATATTTTATCCATATTTGTGGCTCGTACAGCTAGTTGCATTGATGATGTCTCTAGAGAGGAACTGAGTTTTAGCAGATGCAGATGATTTTGAAATTTTGAATTACCATTGCCCTAATTAGTTTCGGTAAAGTATTTTTGAATGAAAAGTGCAGAGCACCCTATCCTTAGAAGGTGATTTGAAATTGGTTTCACATATGGGCTATTGGAGTGATTTAAGGAAAGTGAAGTTCAAAGGTTGTTGAATTATAAAAGCTTTGAGGCCAGGTGCTAAAACTCGATGCTGAGGTTTAGGATTTGTGAACTGTTTAAAGATGAGTGATGTAATATTTCAAGCATAAAAGCATTCAATACACTTTATGTAGAAAGAGATGATAGAGGAAAAGCCCCATTACATTTATCAGAGATGGTTGAATAGGTAATCACAAAGTGTATGGATCAAACGGCATACGGCTGTTTCAATTTAATCAGTGATATCGAGTGAGTTTTGGTTATGCAATTGCTTCGAATACTTACAAAGGGGTAATATTGTTTATAATTATCATTTTTTATTCAGTTTAATCATTTAAATTTTGATTATGGTTAAATATTCAAAGAGAATATTGTTCATTGTGATATTTTATTTTATTATTACAGTAATTTCTTATTTTGTAATCATGTTATTGATATAGAATATCTATCAATTTTGTTAATGACTATTTTTTATCAGAAAGTAATTGATTATTTATAGTGAAATCTTTTTTTTCAATCATGTTTTTTTAATACATAAGATTCGAATTTGAGATCTTATTTAAGGATATTGAGTTCAGTATCACTTGAATTTTTCTCATCTTTTGATTATTAAAAAAATAATATTTACTGGTAGTTATTGAAATTTTATAATAAATATATTAAATGTGAGTAATTTATTTTTTTATTAAATATAATTTCAATCATGACTATTGTTAAGTTTAACTTTCTATCACTAATTCAAATTAGCTGAGTATAATTAATGTGTGTAGCTTAATAAATTTTTTTTCTTTTTGACAGGAGATTAATAGTTTATTTAATAAAATTTGGTTCGTTAATTCTGATTAGATTAGATCAATGAAATTTATGAATTTCATGGTTTCATCTAGGGTTCATATTCCTTCTTGTCTGATGTACATAGATATATAAATATATCATCATTTAAAATTTAACTACATATTTATAAAATCATAAGTTATTATTATTTGTGAAATAATTTTAACAACTATTTTTTAAAAGGGACAACTAAATTAAAAAACGAAGTATGTTGTTATATATATAAATGTATATATTAGTCTTTATTCTTATACAATTATAGGTTTTTTTCTTTAATATGAAATTATTGATTAAAATGAAATATGAATTATTTTAAATTTAATTGCATATTTGTAATATTATTACTTATAATTACTATTTTATCTATATTATTAATAAAATAGATTCTCTTCTTTTGTGTACACATTTAGATTGGACCACTTTATCCTTTTTATTATAAGTAATCATCTATCTTAACTTTTTTTTTTTATTTTTTTTTTTTGGCAGAATTGAACTTTTATTTTCTCTTTTTTTTTTCTGTTTGTTTAAATAAAATACACAAAGGCACGAAGTGCCTAATTTCAACTAATATAAGTAATATTTATAAGTAATAGTATAAAATTTAATATCATTACTAAATATAAAAAATAATAATTAATTTTTAAAATTATCTCATAAATAACATAGTATTACATACTATGAATAATAGACACATCTCATCAATGTAATTTAATTCTTAAGTAAGATATTGCATATATCATGTCCATAGACATAAGATATTGCTACATAATATTAAAATGATCGAACCTAATATTTAATTATCAAGATTATATAATAAATAATATTTCTGTTATTTAATTTGATATTAAATACAATTAAGTCCATTAAATTAATTACATCTAGCAAACAATTAACATAAAATTATAGTTTTGATTAAAAACTTTTATTGGTCAGAATTTTAAATATGACACTAAGGTTTGACTATAAAACATGTGTCCAATAGGTAAATCTTCACTCTTAAGTCGACCCTAATAATTTTAACGACTAATGTCTATTTAAGTTTTCTTTATATAATTTTTAATAAATAATAAAAACTAAAATACATTGATATGTACATTATTTGATAAATGATATCCTTAATAATTATTAATTAAAATAACATATGTGAATATTTTAATATATATTTATAAAATCATCACTTATAATTACTATTGTTTTTTTAAGAAATACTATTGGTAGTTAAATATATTTGAAAGTAAATAATATATATATATATATATTTAGATCATTTAATATTTAATGTTACCGCCTAATATTAGAATTATCAAAATTAACATATAACTTATCAAAGTTTATAATAACATAACATGTCCCATCAAAACCTTCAGGTTAGGTTTATTAGGAGACAAGCCAATCGGGTCGCCCACACTTTAGCAAGGGTGGCTAGATCTTCCGCTAGTCACCACTTTTTCGATTTTATTCCTCCATGTATTGCATCTCTTATCATTAATGAAATGAGTTAAGTTCATTTGCTTCAAAAAAAATAATAACATAACATGTTAATAATTAATATCAAAATTAGTATTTAATTACTCCTTCCATCTCCTTTTGGCCTTCTTTTATTGTACCAAAATAATTGATTTTTTAAAATTTTAAAATCTATTAATATTTAAATTTTGTCTCAATTACACCTTTATTTAGTAGACACTTTTTTCACCAACTATTCAATTTTTATTTTTTACAAAAATAGGATATTGGAGTTGTGATAATGAGATATTAAAAAATATTTTTTAATTAAAAAATTCTTAATTTTCGTGTTTTAAAGATTGGGAACGAAGGAAATATTAAAAGTGTATAATAAATAGCAGTGAACAATTTAATTCATCATTTAATATAATTTGATTGATTTGTTCAAGTCTCCATCATAACTTTCTTAAATATCAAGTTAAAGTTGTCTCTCCTGTCAAAAAAAAAAGAAAAAAAATTTATCTCTAGTTTATAATATTTGTTTGCCTCCCTAACAATCGTATCTAATATACTACCATTGGTCCTCACTACTGATGTGATTATTACAACAATCATATAATTGCATTAGGACCGGGATTTTTTCCATTACTCATCATTTCCTTATTCCCCTTATCATCCGACAGTTAACTTACTATATTAAAATTTTAATAACCGTCAAATATTTTGATATTATTTCAATAATCATGTATAACAACCCGTCAATCTCACACAGCCTATAATGTTAGGAAAAATATATACAAATACATTTCTTTTACCATACACCTTACCGTACACAATGCATAAAATAAAACATCACAATTAAACAATTATATACACCATGAAAATAGAATGTTAAATCTCATATCTACATATATACAATTAAAAATGTGACATAATATTTGGCAGTCACTACTTCAATACAACAAAATAAAACATTAGCTCTCCTGTTGAGTCTCATCCAAAAGCCGTCTACGTACCTATCACA